TTCTATATCATAACTCACACCATTAACAGAATTCAAAACATAAGACCAAATAGATAAATCTATATTATAATCAACCAAAGAGTCATGGCCTAGAATTGGTAGGACATCAATTTGGTGTCCAAAACAAAGCAAAGAATCACCTAACATAAACTTCATCAAATTTATTCTCGAAGAGAATCCTTATCCTAAGCTCATGAGTCTAGCTGTAGAAATGAGGATTCACCGATAGGAGCATATAGGACTTCGCGGAGAATCCTACTTAGACTAGGAAGACGCTGATACATACTGATACTACATACCTTTGTGTTAGATTGGCTTCTATGCAAGTCTTCCAGCTCTCAATGGGAACCCTTCTGAACTCTATAGACCCCTATCTTGTCTCAAGAGGTATGTCTTGGAGTTCTCGAGTTCAAACATCCTAACATTCTCAGCATGAGCCAAAAAGAGCTTCATATCATCCCAAGAGTCAGTTAAAGCCCTGCTGACTGCATAGATCCTGCTCCCTACTTAGGGCAGCTCCAGCAATTCCAAGATCCCTAAAATCCCTGATCATGGAAACCATCATCCAAAGACAGGAATTTAATGGCCTGTCCAACAGTCATCTTGTAGAATTACAATCTGATAGTCACCATTCAGACTCTCATTAGAGAGAACCGTCCAAATCTCGTGTTTAGAGCATCCCAGGGGCTCTTCGCATTTGCATAGTTTTCAAACTCCCCAATTAGATCGTTCCTCATAGTAGCCAACATAAGAAACCATGCAGAACGATCCCTCTAAATCTATATTGCTCTATCTCAGTACAGTACGCCTGAGCTGAACTTGGTTCAGGCTCATGCATGACAACCTCAATACGCTTTAGATTTCCCTGCTCATTCGGGAGAAAGTGTACCTATCAACGCCAGTCGAATTAATTATTGCCGTGCAACTTCTCACTTTCGATAAGATCAGAAATAATGTTGTTGGTAGTCATGAGAGAAACAACAATAATTATGTGTATTAAACTTTCCATATTTGCACAATAATATTTTTTCCCCTGATAAACATTCAATCTCATCAAAATTTTTAGCTACGCTAATAAAGTTGTATTTTGGAGAAATGAGGAACGCATATCCCAACCACAACCTTCAGAAAATGTAAATTCAAAATCATCCTAAAAATCTTGAAAGAAGAATTAGATATCTTATAGAAAGGTTGGGTAGGTTAGTCGAATCTAGTTTTAGACCCAGCCAAAATCTCTAACTTGAAATTTGTTTAAATTATTGATGTCACTTGTGAAAATGAAGCATGACAAAAATAATCTAAGAAATTCCATATATCATCATTTTAAGTTAACAACCATGTTTTGTCTTATCTATTTTATTAGAATATACTATTTCTTGTGAAGTTTCCATAAGTCGACAACTAACCCCCAAAAATCTCTAGTTTTGCCCGTTGTTGAAAGAACACATTACATAACTCGGTATTTGCTTACGTAATCTAAGAAATTTTAAACATTGCATAAGCTTTTGAAATATTTCAGACACATTATGACTATGTAACAATATAAAATGTGTTATTTCAATATAACATGCATTATTACAACTTTTGTTACGTAATTTCAATACAATTTATTAAAAAGACCTGAGAGTGTCTTCTTTCTTAAAACTCGAGTAATTAAGTAAAATTACTTATGAATTGTTTATTAAGCCTTCAAGGCTAATTTTGGTGAAATCATTAAAGGTAGGATTGACAAGCAAATTATCTTCAAATCAAAGGTAGGATTGACAGACCTTTAAGACAAGCTCTTCAAAACATTGCTCCACATTGACTCGGGTTTTGGCGCTACATTCTAGAAACAGGCATCCATATTGTCTAGCAAACTCAACGCCCTCTTTCTTCGTGACAACTCTCTCACTTTCCTGAGAAGGTAAAAACAAAATAAATAAATTTACTAACCTTCAGAAGAAGTTACTTCCAAAAAAGAAGTATTAAGGCATGAAAAGTGGAACATGCTACATGTAATATAAACTAATAATGATCCAATCAATGAAGAACTGCAGTACTGCTTCCAAGCAGCTTTTACTAAAATGAAATGACAGAGTTGCACATACCTTGTCAACTTTGTTTCCTACAAGCATCTTGATGCAGTCCTGGTTGGTTGAATATAGGTCTATTTCTTTAGCCCAAATATCAGAAAGATTAGTGAATGTGTCCCGCCTTGTTACATCATAGACTGCATGATTAGATTACATTAAAAAAGTCTTGCTATATCATAAACTGCATGATTGTATTGCATTACAAAAAGTTGGAAGCAAACTTTTCCCAATGTTTAGCCGACAGGAAATTAATGACGGCCATAAAATTTCATGGACTGTAGGCATAAGTAACTTGATATAAATATATAATCAACAAAAAAGCTCTTAGTTAACATTTCTAGTCATAATTTAAATTTTTTTTTGCAATAATGATTGATGACTGAGACTATTTACACATGAAAAAGATATAGAGAATCAATTGCATACCCATTATAATCCCCTGCGCTCCTCTGTAGTATGAACTTGTAAGAGTTCTGAACCTTTCTTGCCCAGCTGCATGTTATAGTTACTGTTATAGTTACCGTCATTGTTAACATCTATAGATATATTGACATAAGACCATCGCATATAAAACACTTCATAGCATGAGGATGCACGTTAAGACTGACCAGAACTGCAATGGCTTACTACAGCATATAGAACACTCGAGAAAGCTCTTCTTTCCAGCAACTCTTAACAGAGAGCAGGTAGCCAGTGGCTAGAAATGGCTAGCGGGTTTGAGTATTAGGCATGCGATGAAATAAACAATCACGATTTGGATTTTAACTTTTTTATGCAACTAATAAAAGCATTGTACAAGCCTAAACAGCTCAACACAGCTACTCCAACACATCACCAAAATATACCTTTCAGGAAAAAGTTTTACTATCCTACCCAAACTCCTGACGAAACCAACATTCCTAATACAAAACTACTAACAAGTTCTTGACCTGACCAAGAGATAGAATCCTTGTCGAGTACTGCACCATAAGTTTAATGACCTTCCTAACTTTCTCATTCAATGTTTCACTATAAAATATGTAGAATGTAAATATTCTTGACAAATTAGTGTTCATTGTTTTGAGGCAAGAACATAACTAAGAAATTTGAAGATCATAAATTAATGATACGTCTTTTAGTAGTAATGCGAGTAACAAAGAAAAGAATGATCAAGTTCTCCAGAGATATTTAATCTTTGGGTTTTTATTTTAAACCCATTATTTTATCCTGGTTTATTTTGAAAACATCATTTCCAATAAGCTACTATAATTCAGTCTAAAATGCTATAATGTTTGTTAAACAGAATAATACAACGTAAAAGTGATAAAATAAAGGGTCAAATATCAGGCCCGAAGTAAAAATATAAATCCTGTTGGGTGTTTAGGGTGTGGGATTTTTGGAAGTTGGTGGGTTTCAAATAAATCAGGGTAAGAGAGTGGAGTTTTTTAAAATAACATTTTTCCTTTTAACTTAGCCTAGTACGGGAAAGCCAGTCTTATATGAAAAATAAGTAGCTAGGTATATATATATATATACTATATATATATATATATATATATATATATATATATACTAGAAAATATGATTCTATATATATAGGACATAAGTTAGCTAGCGTTCGGTAAGACTATATATATATCATATATATATATATATATATATATATATATATATATATACTATATACTATATAATATATGAAATAATGATTCCTAAGCGGCCTGCATTAGATTGGGCATCTAATGATGGTTGCGCTACGTGGCACATCTCAGACTATAGATTAAATAGTCAATCTCATGTGAAGATTAACTCAAAAAAAAGTGGGGCCCACCCTCTTCCTCTCTCACACGTTTCTCTCTCCCCTCCCCTTCCCCTTTTCAATATAAACTCAAAATCTCCGCCTTGCCCACCGTTCAACTCCGCCTCAGCCGTCACTCAGCACTCTCACAGTTCGAGGCTCGACCGCTACTTTGCACTCTTTGCAGTTTGAGGATCAAACCCTGTAGCGCCATCTCCTCGCTCAACTTCCAGCGTCATCTCCTCCTTCACCCCTGTTGTCCTCCTCCAAGCTGGACCCTTCCGGTGCCATCTCCTCCCTCAACCGACGACGGTAACACCTTACAATAAGTCAAAACAAGTTTTCCTCCTTGTAGTATGATTTAAATCTATCGACCATGACGGAATGTATTTAATCCTTTGGTTAGCCTCTAGGATTTATTTAAGCCTCTCCCTTGCCGTGTATAAGCTAAGCATTTGCTAGATGGTTTACATGAGATAAATGACTCACTTTTGTATTGAATTTATTTCTTGTTGGAGTTTTTCTCTCTTCCATTTCAATGACGACAGGGTCAAGCTTTATGATGATGGCAATGTGATTCATTCCTGTGTCTACGAGAGTGTCATATACACTTACCAACTTTCATTTATGTTTTCTGTTTTCCCATTCTCTCTCGTTGGACACCTAATATTTCTACTATATTAATATTTTTATTCCTTTTGCAAGTCAACCTCACGTCCATGTGTTGAAAGTGCTCTTGTATCTGTTTGGCTTTTATCTTTTGATTGGTGATCTTTTGTTGCATTAGCTCTCTTTACCTCACGTCCATGTGTTGAAAGTGCTCTTGTATCTGTTTGGCTTTTATCTTTTGATTGGTGATCTTTTGTTGCATTAGCTCTCTTGTATCTGTTTGGCTTTTATCTTTTGATTGGTGATCTTTTGTTGCATTAGCTCTCTTT